TTCTGATCTCCCTGCTATAGGAAGGATGTTGTGAAAGATTTGCCAGAGTTGGAGGGTTTGAGCTATAGGGAGTGTCAGAGACTGAGGGTTGACCTTATAAAGGTTTGTAAAATCATGAGGGTCATGGATGGGGTAAATAGGCAAGGTCTTTTCCCCAGGGTGGGGAGCCCAAAAGTAGAGGACATAGTGAGAGGGGAAAGATATAAAAGGGACCTAAGGGGAATCTTTTTCACACAGATGATGGTGCGTGTATGGAATGAACTGCCAGTGGAAGTGGTGGAGGCAGGTACAATTACAACATTTAAAAGGCATCTGGATGGGTATATGAATAAAAAGAGTTTAGAAGGATATGGGCCAAATACTGGCAAATAGGATTAGATTTATATAGGATATCTGGTCAGCATGGACAAGTTGGACCGTATGGCCTGTTTCCGTGCTGTATATCTCAATGACTCTATGACTCAAAATGGTCATAGCCTACGAGCCACAGTAGCATTCTGTATCATCTGAATTCATGGTCTCACACCCACTTTATCTCCCTCAAGCAAATTTCTCTGCACGCTCACAGTATTCCTTACTTGCTCACTGGGGATGCCTCCTCTTTTTGCATTGTTATGCATGCTCACAAACTGCTCTTGCATCGTACTCAATCCATCTCATTTTTTCATTGCAGGAAAAAGAACTGGCCCATAACCAGGCCAAGAGGACCATTATTACAGGTGGGCTTGGACTCGGGCAGGGGTCAATGAAATGTGGTCTGTCCCCCATGCAGAATGAGCCATTGTGTTGGAAGACATTTGGGTGGTGATGGGAGACACAAATTGGCCAGCAATCCAGTGATCCACATTGCACTCTGCTCTTCTCAGATGAGAATGGAGGCAAACACATGCGTTGCATGAGCTATTCTGCATCTTCACCTCATTACTTCCCTTTGCAGGCAGTAGCACCACCCTGAACCAGGTCTACAAATGGCTACAACCTGCGTCCCTCTGTGCTAACACCAGCTCTGAGGAGGAAAACTTTGAGCACTCACAGATTGTACTGGCATGACTTTTACTTCCACCCTCCACCTGCACAGAGCCAGTCACCTCAGAGGGTGGATCAGCTAGCTTCGGCTCAAGGGCATGATCCGCTAAGCATGTCACTGACACATGTCCGCACTTTGTGCAGGAAGAAATCCTCGAAGCCTGTGACTCTCAGAGGACTGCTGGAACTCAGGCCCCTTGTGGATGGAATGCCTCTAGACACAGTCACTACTGACCTGCTCAACCTGCAGAGAGAGGCAAGAAAACATCAGGCAGCTGTGACAGAGGCCCTCAAGAGGCTGAAGTGAGAGATCGCGGAGTCTGTCCATGTTCACATTACTGTGGTGCATCTGTCATGCAAACTCTTAGCTGCATCCATCGAAAATAGGACTGTCGCCTTGGAGATACCAGACCAACAGAACACTCCATGGCTGCCAAACACAGACTCTGAACTGCATTCTATCAACCCAGCCATTGATGTTTACCTTCAATGAGAATGCAACTGAGGCACGAACCATTTAAATCTCAACCCAACTGTTCCTTTCTCTCAGGGACATAAGGTGATGGCAGCAGGCACTCACTGAGAAGAGACATGACCAACAGGCATCCTTTGTCTCAGCTTCTTCTCAGGACACTCTCCAGCTGGGTCCTGTCACACATCCAGCCCTCTGCTAGTGACCCCCATCGTCTCCCACAGCTCAAACTGAGGTGGGCGCAGCTATGCCTGTCTAGGATATTTGCAGCAGATCTGGGTGCCCTGGGAAAAAAACACCTCCTGTACACACCCACCAAAGTCATTAACAGCACTACAGAATCAAGCCAGCAGTCTCCCTCCACCCAGCCCCAGATATCAGACCTATACCTAGACATAGTGGGAGGAAGATAAAATGAAATGTTGGAAAGGTATATATCAGTGTTTAAGTATTGTTGTGGTCTTATTGCCTAATAGGATATTATAAACTTATCCAAAGTGAAGGAAGTGGAACAAAAGCGTATGTTGGCTTTCAATTGCACACCTCCGAACTCCACACATAACCAAGAAGGCGGGCAATTGGAGGTGACATCATCCATCAGGGAACACACAAGACTACAAACTGGGAATTGCAATCAAGGTGCCACAGATTCCTCTGGGGACATTTAGGGTAACAATTTGGTCTAAGGGAGGAAAGAAAGCCTGGGATGTCCAATTGGTTGACCCTAGACTCAAATTGGCTTTGCTTGGTGTATAAAACTGATCATGGGACCAGTCTCTGTTCAGCAACATGTAGATTCCTGGTCTTGTGTTGGACCATCTCCCTGAGAGACTATGGCTAACCCCTTGGACTAGAAATGGCCCAGCTCTGGACTGACTGTGGTGGTGCCTGCTGACAGCTGCAGCTAACTTTCACCTCAATAAACATGCCTTCCCTTTGTCTTTCACATATCATCATGCTCTTTATTCACAAGTACTGTGTTGGCCATGTTCGCCAACCTGGGATATAAACAGAGCAACAAAAACAGAACAAAACAAAGTTGCTGGAAAAGCTCAGCGGGTTTGGCAGCGTCTGTGAAGGAAAAAACAGAGTTAATGTTTCAGGTCCGGTGACCCTTCCTCAGAGCACACTGCCATAAGCCTTGTTCCCCTACTTTCTCATTGACACTTCACTGTTTCCTACAGCTACAAGCTGCCTGTCTTTCCTTCCACACTAAAGTGACTTCTTCAGCCACAAGCTACCTGCTATGCCTCTTGCATCAAAGTTTTTTCTATTCATTTGTGGGATGTGGGTGTCGCTGGCTAGGCCAGCATTTCTTGCCCATCCCTAGATGCCCTTGAGAAGGTGGTGGTGAACCGCCTTCTTGAACCCCTGCAGTTCTCCTGCTGTGGGTTGACCCACAATGCCATTAGGGAGAGAATTCCAGGATTTTGACCCAGCAACAGTAAAGGAACGGTGATATATTTCCAGGTCAAGATGGTGAGTAACTAGGAGGTGAAATTGCAGATGGTGCTGTTCTCATGTATCTGCTGCTTTTGTTGTTCTAGGTGGGAATGGTTGTGGGTTTAGAAGGTGCTGTCTGAGGATCTTTGGTGAGTTTCTGCAGTGCGTCTTATAAATAGTACAGACTGCTGCTACTGAGCATTGGTGGTAGAGGGAGTGTATGCATGTGGATGTGGTACCAATCAAGCGGGCTGCTTTGTCCTGGATGGTATCAAGCTTCTTGAGTATCGTAGGGTCTGTACTTTCAAGTGGGGAGTATTCCATCACACTCTTGACTTGTGCCTTGTAGATGGTGGACAAACTTTTGGGAGTCAGGAGGTGAGTTACTCACTGTCATGTTCCCAGCTTCTGACCTGCTCTTGTAGCCACTGTGTTTATGTAGCAAGTCCATTTGAACATCTGGTAATGATAACCCCCAGGATGTTGATAGTGGGGGATTCAGTGATGGTAACATTATTGAAAATCAAGGAATGGTGGTTAAATTGTCTTATTTGTGATGGTCATAGACTGACATTTGTGTGGCACGAATGTTAATTACCACTTGTCAGCCCAAGCCTGATATTGTCCAGATCCTCTTACAGTTGTACACAGGCTGCTTCAGTATCAAGGAGTCGTAAATAGTGCTAAACATTGCGGAATAATCGGCAAACATCCCCACTTCTGACCTTAGATGGAGGGCAGATCATTAATGAAGCAGCTGAAGATGGTTGGGCCTAGGACACTACCCTGAGAAATTCCTGTAGGAATGTCCTGCAACTGAGATGATTGACCTCCAACAAACACGGCTTTCTTCCCATGTGCCAGCGGAGCGTTTGCCCCCTGATAGCGATTGATTCCAATTTTGCTATAGCTCCTTGATGCTACATTCGGTCAAATGCAGCCTTGATGTCAAGGGCTGTTACTTTCACTTCATCTCTGGAATTCAGATCCTTTGTCCATGTTTGAACCAAAGCTGGAATGAGGTCAGGAGCTGAGTGGCCCTGGCAGAACGCAAACTGGGCGTCACTGAGCAGGTTATTCTTCAAATGTGAGCTCAGTTGAATTAAAATTTTTAGGGTTCCTGGTGGGTTGGAAACAGGTTGTAGCAAGTTGTAAACCTGTTTTTATATCTTGTGCAAAGTTGAAAGCCTGCTGAGTTTGGAGAACAACTCTTGTGACATAGACCAGAAGAAAATAATGCATATTAGGAGCAGGTGTAAGCCATTCAGCCCATCGAGCCTGTTTCACTATTCAATGAGATCATTGCTGATCTGATCATCCTCAACTTCACTTTTCTACAATGACCCTTGATTATCTTAGTCATTAAAAATCTGTCAATTTAAGCATCAACAACCCTTTACCATAAAGAATTTCACAGACTTGCCAGCTTCTGCCAGAAAATAAATCCTCCCTCACCTCTGTATAAAGAGGGTGAATTCTTACACTGAGATTTTGCCAACTGGTCCTAGAATCTCCGAAAAGTGGAAACAATCACTCCAGATCTACCTTGTCAAGTCCCTTAAGACTTGTTTCAATGTATATGATTCAATGAGGTCTCCTCTCATCCGTCTAAACTCCAAAGAGTACAAGCTCAACCTACTCAATCCCTCCATATAAGAAAATCCCTCCATACCCAGAATCAACCCAGTGAACCTCCTCTGGGCTGCTTCTAATGCTCGTATTTCTTTTCTTAGATAAGAGGACCAGAATAGTTCCCAGTATTCCAGCTATGGCCTGACCAGTGCTTTGTGTAGTTTGAGCAAGATCTCCCTATTTTTATATTCCATTCCCTTTGAAATAAAGGCTAACATTCCATTTGGCTTTTCTATTACCTGCTGGATTTAGACGCTCATTTTTTATGATTTATGAACTAGGACTCCTAAATCCCTCTGTACTGCAGCTTTCTGTCATCTTTCCCCATCAATATAATATTCAGCTCTTTTATTCTTTTTGCTGAAGTGCATAGCCTCACATTTTCCCACAGCATACTCCATCTGCCAGGTTTTTGCCCATTTGCTTAACCTGTTTCCTTCTGTCAGAATATCTGTGCATTACCGTCTCAGGAGAGGTGGCTTTTCATTTTCGATACATTAATTGCTTGATTAGAGGGGGAAAAATACATGGGTTTTGAAATGTAATTTTGGATCCATCATTTTCCAGTTTGCTGGAACCAGACAGTGAAAATAAGTTCTGAGGAAGGGTCACCAGACCCGAAACGTTAACTCTGATTTTCTCCTCACCACTTGTGTTCCAATTATTTTTTGTGTCATCCACAAACTTGGCTTGAGTACATTTACTTCCAAGTCATGAATACATATTGTAAATAATACATCCATTTGACTAATGATCAATCTCATGAAGAAGTCAATTTTCTGTCCTGTGAAAAAACAATGAAGGTGCTTCAGTGAATAAAACGACAAACTATCTGAACTACCGTGCTCAGTTTGAATGGAAGATTGTAATCAGCAGAAGTGAAGGCTGTTGTGACAAGACCAAGCAGAGCAAATTATTTTCATTCTAATGAATGAACATGAGATTTACTAACATACTGGCCATTAAAACAGGGAAATACTATGACAACTATGGACTGGGCACAAAAAGAATGCTGCAATGTTTAAAATGTATTTGCACTCTGGAAATGGCCACTGTTAAAGCACAGAA